GCTCCCGCCCCTCGCTCAGCCAGTGAGCGGGAACCGGTCTGTATGTGGGATCCGAACCCTCGGCGGGAGCGCCACCGCGCTCCCAAGCAGCGCACTGTAGCAGTGCGCCACCGGGCCGGCCCCATAATTACTTTTATTTTTGACAGATCTATTTATAATTTATCTGGTAGATGTGGTTTTGTTTTCTCTACAAGACCCCAAAACTGTGTTATCTCATAAATATAAATATATATTTGAAACTCATCTCCAAAGGATAATTTCCCCCCACCTCTCGTCTTACTTTAGGGTAGCTTTCCTAGTCATTATCTTTAAACATGCATATTTTCTTCCATTTAAAAAGGTTGTCATATATTTCTCATACTCCATGTTACAAACACATTTTTGAATGGAAGCCAACAGTCCTGATTCCCCCACCTGAATTAATTGTTTTCTATTTAACATGTTTATAGTACTTTATTTCTAATTCTTTTCAGGTGTGTGAGCACAAACACATGCTTGCCATTCTGGACATCAGCTATAGCTGTGGACATGTCTCTTCCATAGTGGATTGTGAGCTCCTTGAACACTGTCTTGTTCTTCCTGTATCCCCAGAACCAAGCAGTGCTTCCTGACACAAGACAAGCATTTGGTAAATATTCAAGTGAATAAACAAATGAATAAAAAGCAGAGCCCAGTACCACGGCAGTTTAGAAGTAGATATTTTTTAATCTGGGGGTTCCTTGAAGGATTCATAGAGGAGATGACATTGGGGCTGTTCTTTGAAAAACAGACTGATTGCCAATGAGCAAAAATATGGTGGGAGATCATTCCATCAAAAGGGGTGATATGACAAAAGGTCAGGACAATTCAGTTCAAGGTCTCTGAGGGAAAGGGCCAAGTAAGTAGCCTAGAATATATACAAGGAGAAAGTGGTATGTCCAACCATTACAGTCAAGATAGGTTAGGTCAACCTAACCTATGGGGTGGAAGTCTAAACCTCATTAGGCAATACAAAATAAATAAGATGCTTGCATTTTTGGGGTGGTTTTGGTGGGGTGGAGTGGGTAACTATATCAGAGTTACATTTTATCAGGAATAATCTGGTAGTGCTTTGTTAGATGGACTATGTATTAATTAAGGTAATGCTAACATCTGTAACAAACCCCCAAATTTCAGTTACTAAAACAATTAAAGTTTATTTCTCTCTCATTCAGCATTCCAATGTGGTTGTTACTGGTTGGTGAATTTTCTTCATGTGATAATTGAGGGACCCAAGCTCCTTCCATCATGTGGTTTTGCAGTCCCTAAAGCCTCTGTGTCTTCTGCTGCATCCAGTCAATGAAAGGGGGAAGAGACTAGGGAGTAGCTCCATCTGCCTTAACCCAGAAATCATGCCCTTGACTTTTACTTCCATGTCATTGCTGAGAACTAGTCACACGATACAAAGGGAGCTGGAAATGAAGTCTCTGACTAGGCACACGCACCCTGCACTGGGGTTTACAAATCTTTGGTGGACAGAGCCATCTTTGCCACAGATTTAAAGGGAGAACACTAGAATGGAAGGCCCCTCAGTAGCCTTTACAACAAGCTGAGGTGAGCAGAAATTCAGAGCTGAATCAGGGTACGGATGGAAGGAGTGGCCAGGAAGTGATGGGCAACAGGTTTTGCTCATGGTTAAATTTCTGAAGTACTTACAAATCAAGGGAAAATTGAAAAAGAGTGACATAACAACTTGTGAGCTGAGTGCTTACATTTCTAACTTAGGTCCTCTCCCAGTTCCTCCCCACATATTATTTCATGTTCCCAGAACAACGATGCAGTCAGTCCTGGCCCACAGTTTAAGTCAGAGAGCTCACTGAGCTGAGATGCTTCTTCTCAGTGAGGCTACTAGGATAACTCATCTACATCACCCTACTCCTAACTTCCTTTCCTAAAGACAAGTGATATCAACAATAATATATATTTTTATGTTGATTTATACCTCATTTTATTCCCCAGAGGTCTTAAATGCAGAGTTCACAAAACATAATTCCATACCACCTTCTTTGATTCTCAGAGAAACCTTGGTAATGATAGTATACGCATCTTTCTCACTGGTTTGCACAAGGATTAACTAATAAAGAGGATTTCGTAGTGCCTTGTTGAAGAAATGCTTTTAATTACTTGATGACTTAAGTGCTGGGAAGGGCTACTCTCCTATTCTCTTTGCTTTCACTGGGACAAACTTCAGGCTTTTAATTATCAGGATATTCATTTTACAAATTAGAAAAGGTGATAGCTCCTTGTTAATTTGATGATGAGTTGGCAAGATTAATAAACTGTGCTCCCGTGTACTCAGTTATTTTTCTAATTGCTAAACAGAAGAATTAATAAAGACAATGTGCAATGGTCCCTCATGAGCTAAATGTAAAATTCTCATATCCAGGTCTGAGATTAAGAGCAGCCCCCGTTTTTCTACATGTAGAGACTTCCTGTAGGAAAAAATACACCTGCGATTGAGAGAGACTGATCAAAGTGAGCCACCCATGATTTAACAGGAGCTCCTGCAGAAAAGAACAGAAAAGTGGTCAGAGAGAAACTTCAAAGTTTTTTTCTGACTGTATGAAATGTGTTTCTCCACAATTGCTATTTGACATTGTGAAGAAGTGCCTAGGAGAGAGGTCCGTGGTCACTCCAAGGAGAAAAAACAAACCCTCTGACACAGTCAGCCGGCTGGGCCACAGCAGGCAGTGCATTCTCTCCTGCGTTGTTGGCCACGTGTCCTGAGAGGACTCCCCTTCCTGTCCCAAGGCAAATGGCCTCACCATGGTGAGGACATGGCTGTCAGGGGGACCAAGTCCTTCTTGAATCACACGTGGTGAGAGAGCTAACAAATGTAACATATGGAGTGGGGCCACTTTTATCCTTTCTATAGACAATGCTCCTCACACATTATTATGTTTTGCATGGGGAAGGATGAATAAAAGCTTTAATCTTATTGAAGTATTATTTAGCAGTCGCTCAAATTTCCTTCTGATATAAAGAACAATCATTCCTCACACTTTTTTACTACAAAGCCCTTCCACGAAGGCTTATTCGTTTCAACCTCAAAGCCTTGGGGCAGGGCAGGTATCACTAGTTCTGTTTTACTGACATGGATGAAGGTGGGGAGTGGAGGGGTGGTCAAATAACATCCAAAGAATCATCCAATTTAGCTATTCTATGCAGTCTCATTCTTCCCCCAATTTTATAAACATGGGAAGCTTGCACCTGCTAGTAATGGGGAAACAGACTGGACATTCTTTCTAGTGCTTAGGGTGCCAGAGCTGATAAAAAATGATCAGCCAAAATGCAGGCTGCCAGGGAGGACTGGATGGCAGGGATTTGCACTGCTGGATAATCGGTGCCTGAATAGGAAACCCTTGGCTGCAGTGGGCACCATTAGCAGTTCTCAGACAGGAAACTCCCTTCCAGCAATTCTCAATTATTAGAACAATGGAAGAAAGATGAGAGCCTAAAAGAGCTGATAATCCCCACATTCTTTGGCTCTAGAAATGCAGTCAGAAATATAAACACTGAAGAGAAACAGGCTTGAGCACTAGAATGATTCAATGTGGGGCCTACTCTTTCACCAAAAGCCCTGGGGTCAGACACAGGCCTGGGTTCCAGTTCTAGCTCCACCACTGATGAGCACTGCAAGCTTGGCCAAGTGACTCACCCTCTCTGCACTACAGTTTTCTGAGGACAATTGTACGGCTTATCTCACTGAGTGGCTGTGTGATTTAAATGACATAGTACATATAACACACTTAACCCAACACCTGGCTATTACTATTATTATCATCTAATACACGTTTCTCACTCTGCCAAACTCCATGCCATTTTCTGCCTTAATTATACTGTCTAAGAGATTTACCCAGTACCACCTACCAGTGTTAGCTTCCCTTCTTAATGAATATGCCTCATCTCAAGGGTAGTCTTGGGAGGATGAAGATTCACTCTCTTGGGCCTTTCTAGAGTGCTCAATACCATGTCATGTACACAGTGGGTACTTCATAAGACATATCTGGATAAATGCCATATTGGTATCCAGCTCTGGTCTAATTCCACTTTCTCCTTATTTCTGAGAGCTTGAGAGCCAGTGACAATTTTAATGGAAAAAGGCCTAGAGGTGGAGGAGAAAGGAGGCAGGGCCCATTGGAAAAAGTATGTGCTGGAAAAACAGAAACTTATGAGTCAAATTGGCCTAGACTAGATTTCTTCTACTCATTTTTTATGTCCTTGGCATAAATGGAGAAAATAATATCTGTTTCATAGGGTTCATATTAGGGTAAGAAACATGTGTTGGCATTTTGGGACATAGTAAATATTAAAAGCTTTTCTTATTTCCTCTACATTGGTGACATCAATGAAATGTAACACATTTGTAAATTTTCCCTTCCCACACTGCTGTCATTACTAGGTTTGAATTATTACCAACATAATTACCTTTGCGATACCTAAGCCATGTTCATACATACAGGCCAGATTGAACATGGCTTGTGCGCTGTGGAATTTGTCTGCTGCAATGCTGTAATGTGTGGCTGCTGTTTCATAGTCTTTCTTAGTCCCGTAGCCATAGTAGTGGTAATCTCCAATTTTTACTCTAGCAAATGCATTGCCTGGTAGAATTATTAGAAAGAGAAGAATCAGAACTCAGATGATTTCTGTATAGTTTCCACTAAGTCAACCTAATAATTTTGTTTCAGTGCTTTATATATATAGGGATTCATATGTGTGTGTGTGTGTGTGTGTGTGTGTGTGTGTGTGTGTGTGTGTGTGTGTGTATGAAAAAAACACACTCAGAATCCCAGAATCAGGATTAGAAATACTTTATGGAATATAAAATATAACACTGTATATAACAATGCTAGCTGTCTTCATTGTAGGATAATACAAACATTCTTATAGAACAGAAAATTATTAATTTTACTTGTAAAATTCATTGTTTGAAGGTAGGTAACTCTTGGGAAACTGGCCCTATCCCTCCCATTCTCAGACTTTACTCCTGAAGCCCTATTCTCCTGCATCACAGTCTCTCCCTCTTTTCCAGATCAATCTCATCAGCTCTTCAAACATGCTCTAGTATCTTCTATGAACAAAAATAAACCCTCTCTTTAGCTTGCGGTGTCTCCTTCTAGCTCATGCCCCATTTCTCTGTTCCCCTTTACACTCAACCTTTGCAAAAGTGTGTTCTACTCTCACTGTCTCCAAAGCTTCACGTGCCTTGTACTTTTCAACCCACTCCAATCTGGCTTCTGCCCCCTCCCCTGGGAAACTGCTATTTTCAAGGTAGTCGATGACCTCCGTACAACCAAATCCATTGACCACTTCTCTGTCCTCACCTTCCTGGACCTCTGAGGAGCACTGGAGTCACTGGACCCGTCTGCCCAAGCACTTTCCTCTCTTGGCATTGATGGCATTGCACTCTCTTGATTTCCCTCCTACCTCCCAGGCCTCTCCTCCTCACACTCTTGCCTGACTCCCCCTCTACACAATTCCTAAACGTTGAAATGTCAACAGCTTGTTCCTAAGTGCTTTTTTCATTTCTTCTTTTCCTTCCTTTCTCTTCTCTCTTTTTCTCTCCCCTCCTCTACCACTCTCCTCTATCTCAATTCTTTCTGTAGGTGACCTTGTCTAGTCCATGGCTATCTTTATGTTAAGTATTTCTGAATTTATATCTACAGTCCTGTCTCTCCCTAAGGCCCAACTCTTATAATTGCCTTGATTTCTCTACTTGGATCTCAAAGGTGTGTCAATAGAGTTTTCTTAACACCCTACACCCCTTTGCCCAAACAAAATAATCCATATCTTCCTTATCTCAGTACTTGCACTGTCATTTTCCAGGCCATAAATCTAGGGGAATTGTACCTAATTATTTTTTCCTCACCTCCATCATCTAATTCATCAAGTTCTGTTGGTTTTACCTCTAAAACACCTTTCTCTTGACAACTCCTGCACCATCTAGTTCAAGACTAGAATATTATAATAGCCTTCCAGCTGTCCTTTTATCTCCACTTCTCAATCCACTCTTTATACAACGGCCAGGGTAATATCTTTAAAATGTGAAATCAAATCATGTTATTACCCTGTGAAAAATCACCCACTTCACTTTGCACTTAGAATAATACCCAGATTTCTTACCTGAACTACAAGCCGTGCCTCACCTGCCTCCTGCCTCCCTAATTTCATTTCATGTCACTTTCTAGACACACAGCCTATTTAATATTTCTTCAACACAACAAGCTTATGCCTGCACAGGATCCCGCATTAAGATTCCTCAAGTCCCTCCACCTGGCACGTTTGGAATTCCTCCAACTCTTCACGTGGCTGGTTTTTCATCATTCAGATTGAGCACAAATGCCATTTCCTTCTTAAACACCTTCTCGGACTCCCTGGTCTAACGCATCCACTCAGACTCCACCCCAGTAGTTATTTATCACATCTCCATGTTTTATTTCCTTCACAGCACATATCGGTGTTATTTTATTTGCTTACTATTGTGGTTTATTTTCTCTCTTCCACATGAGGGCAAGAGCTCCATGAGGGCAAGAACTTAGAAGCTCTTGATCAATTATATAGTCCCAGAACCTAGAATGGTACTCGATAAATATTTATGGAATAAATGGATAAACATGGTAGGGAACTTTTTAGAAAATGCTTTTTTGATTTAGAATATTACTTTCCAAGAAACATGGATATGTCAAGTAGAAAAAGGTCACCTGATTTTTTAAGATATGAGATTTCAGTCTTTTGAAGGCTACTTAGGGATGACTGCTAAGGGTCTCCTTGGGGTTCATGTTTATTGCTGGTAGTGTTTCTCCACTCCAGATTAAGTCTTTATTGCATTTTAGAAAACACAGACTTTTTTTTTAGGGAATCTCTCACTAAAATTGCATGATGGCTTGCTGCTGCATTACCAGCTCAGCTGGGTCTGAGAAGGCACCACTCGGAGAGTAGGCACTCCACTGCTTCATATTAGCATCAGTTGAGAATCATTTTTTATTCTATTCACTTCCTGTGAAAAGGGATGATTCAGTCTTAGCATGAGACAATCTTAAGAAACCTAATTGGAAACAAAACTGCTCTCTCATTGCAGGGAGTTCCTCACCTATTCAAATGTGATAGCTTTGCAGTATTTCTCTGCTTTTAATAACATGATTTTAGGAGAAAACATAGAAGAAACGTAGTGATTCAAATGCCAGCTGCTAATGCTTTTTCCATCAATGGTATCTTATATTCCTTATCAAATGCGATCCTGATTAGTGGGACATGGAAACTCCGGGACAGGGGAGAGGACCTTGCCATTTATCTTTGTTTTGTTTTGTCTTGTTTTTTTAATTCTAACACACTAATGGTTACAGTAAAGATCTGGAATTTGTGGTAATTATCAATGTGATGTTTTAAAGCCATCAAATAAGTCTTAGATACACAGGAAATTTTGTCTATAAATTGAGAAGTAGGTCACATCTCTGATTAGTTCAGTAAACAACTCAGCAGTTGAGTGACTAAAGCCAGACTAGGAAAACTGGTTTCTTAAGTAAAATTGTCATATTTCAAAAAACTCTTCTGGTGCCATGGAGACAGAGCCATAAAAAAATTCCTTGAGAATAATAAAGAAAATAAATTCCTGGAAACGACCTCTAACTAAAGACTGACCCTAACATCAGTATAGTTTAAATACCATCTACTTGATATTCTGCAACTTTCTGCCTATGTGCCCAAGAACATAGCTAATGCAAATCAGATGAATAATCGTGGACAGGGACCAGGTATGTGCTTATTTTTATCTAGGTTCTATACCTTGAATGGCAGCTCGATTCCATAGGAGAAGTGCCATTGGATACATCTTCTCTTTTTCAAGGATTTTAGCCTTCTCTAGAAAAAGGAGACATTTAATTAGGAAGGCTTAAAATGCCTCTGTAGTAATGTTATATATGCATGTATATGATTGGAGAATTGCAGAGAATTTTAACTTATCTTACTAGATTCCAAAATGAATGCTGAATTGCTCTGAGCTACTTCATACCCCATTTCTGCAAGCAGTGCATACTGAACAAGAGAAGAATCTACATCACCATCCTTATAGGCAAAGTAAGCTGTCAGGAACTTCTCAGCCCAGGGGCCTAGTTCACAGACAACTTTGTAAAGCTGTGTATGGGAAAAGAAATCAAGCAGACTAGTTAGGAAATATACTTCATCCCAGGTAAATGATAAATGAAATCAGTCTTCAGCTCCTGCTGGCTGGTTAGTCAAGGATTTTAGGTCTAAAGCATGGCTTTTGCAAATTATTTAGCATGAATAGTTAATAGCTTTCATAGGCACAAAGGTTACAAGTGTATTTTTTGTCTTGAATGAAACTTCCTCAGGCTTATTTTAGATTTGTATAATAAACTTTCCAGACTTAGAGGCTATTTGGCATGACAAAAATGTATCGACTTCTGGATTTGTTTTTTTTTTTTTTTTTAAAGGCCTTCTGGGCATTGCTGCTCTGCAAGGGCAAGTTATAAGGCCACAGCTGATGTGGAAAGGAGAACATGAAGGGAAGACAGTGCCTGAGGGTGTAGGTGACAAAACTGCGAGGGAGGTGTGCAAAGCTCAATGGGGACTAATGTCAACTTAGCTGAATAGCCCTTATGTAACCAAAAGAGGTTAGCCATACATAATTCATTAGGAAGTTGGCAAAGGAGCAAATCTAAAGATAGATTATTAGCTGGCAGCTTTTGAAATGAGTTTCAGAGGGACCAGATTGCAACATGGAGGTATTTATATTGGTGCAGCGGATGTATTTTATAAATCAATGAAGGGCATTAAGGTCCTAAAAGCATTCCTTTGAAAAGTGCATCGCTGGCTGCTGGCTCGAACTGAAAGAATCCACTTTCTCAATTGTCATCCAAATCATCAAAAACCTAAGGACCCTGCTTTCTGGGAAGAAGTGGGCTATGTTTTCTAGGCTAAATCAAGCCTTTCGTTTCCCAAGTAGCAACTCCCAGTCCCACTAGAAGTGCCAAATTGCTCCGATGATTTGATTGAAGGCTGAAACAGAGCTCCTTAACTGAATTCTGAGGCAAGCTCAGAACTTGATAAAAAGCCAAATACAAGAGAGGAAGGATTATTTCTCTTTTTCTCTTTCCAAATCCAAGTTACATCACTGCTTTTTACTCTCTGGCAAATGCCAGTGTTTGATTGCCAACTGGAAGAAAAGAGGTACTATCTGTAAAATTAAAGGCACCAACAATTTAAGGACAGTATCACGTCCTTTGTGTGATGAATGAAAATTAAAGACAGTCCAGTATTTACCTCCACGGCGGTTCTGCAGGATCTTAACACTCCTGTTCCTGTCGCATACATCTCGGCCAGATAATACATGGCAAGGGGTTGCCCACTCTGAGATGCCAAGTAAAAATATTTGAAGGCAAGTTTATAATCCTTCCATACTCCAGAGCCAGCTGAAAATTAAAATTGTTTTGAGCCACTCCTTATTTATTTTATTTTTTACATTATAATCTATGGATAGTGGTCATAGTGATGCCTGCTATTTTAAATGGGAGGGAAAAGCCATCCAAAAGTCAAGCTTCTCTAAATCCTCTATTGGGAAGGGTGAGGGGGCTGAGTTTGGTTGTAAGTAAGAATATGGAAATTAATGTTCTCATGGAAAACTGAGGAAGAAGGACTGTTTGGTCTCATGAAAATATCTCCTCAATATGGCATAACTAAAGTTAATGAAAAGGAGACCAAGCAGTGGTCTCTGAGGACCAGAAGCCCCACTAGGATGCATCTCGCCTTCCCTGACACCCTCCCACACCAGGAGACAGCCATAGCCATGGAGAATGGAACAGGAAATCTCAGCTCCAGGAAGCCCACCTCTGACCCAACTCATGCCCGGAGCAAGGAGCTGCATTTGGTGCCAGGGCAGAGAATTGGCAGACTCCCAGCAGCAGGATTCTCTCGTTACTCCTCTTGTGAGTCAGGCACATCTAGGCACTTCATCTCCAAAAGGATGGAGCTTTCCCAAAATGGCCCTTCGATTTCCTTCCAGCTCTAACATTTCATGGCCTCTAGAGGCAGTGCCACATAGTGATTAAGAGCAAAGGCTCTGGAGGCGTATTGCTTGAGTTTGAATCCCAGCTCCACTAACTGAGTGATCTCTGACCTTGATATGGCTCAATTTTAAACTGTGTGATACCCCAGTCATGTTAAGAGGACTAAATGACTTAAAACATACAAAGACTTAATATACATGAGCCATTATTACTCTTATTCTAGAAGCTTGAGGAATTGGACTTGGAATAAGCTAGAAGAATAAGACCATCTTAGGCAAACCTCAACCGCCTAGGACAGTGCAAAACAGGCCCTCCTGCCTAGCCACTGTGGAAAATGCCAGCCCTCTTGGCCACATTTGACCTCCCTGATGATGCAGTCTGCTGCTGCCCTGGCTCCACTTGTGACATGAAGGACTGGCGGGGATGCTCAGGTTTGTTCAGATCTCCCATTTACTTGTCTTGGCCACTCCCTCTCTCAGTCTCCACAGATATTACAAATCTTTAAGACTTTCTGAGGCCTCCTATGCCAACCACTCTACCTTTGCTCTCAGAAGGCAACTTTGTACCTACTAGATCACTGAGGAAAACTTTACATTGTCTTTCCCCACTTGCCTCTCTTCCCATCCCCCCATATGTACCTCTGCACTATCCTTTCCTCCCTCCCACCAGTCTTGAAGCTGAGAAATCCCACCTCTCTGCCGTGGCTAATGAGGCCTCCACCTACCTGGGCCCAATCAGATCCTAATGTCACTGACTTTTTCCAGAACTTCTTTTCAACAATTATAATTATGCTCAGGTCTTTCAGCATGTTAACAACTCCCTCTTGGTTCTTGGTTCCCCTCATGCTGCAAATTCATCTCTCTCCTTCCCTTTAAAGGCACACTTTCTGAAAGAGTATTTTTACTTATCTGCTTCCACACCTTCCATTCACACCTTAACCCATTGTCATCTGGCTTCCACCCCAACCAGTCCAATGACCTCGCCAACATTCTCCATGTTGCCAAGTCTCATGGATACTTGGTCCCTTCTTACCTTTTTGTTTTTTTTAACCAAGCTTCTCACTGCATTTCACAGAGGTGCTTATTCACTCACTCTTTCTAGAAAGTTCTACATCCCAATGACCTCGCCAACATTCTCCATGTTGCCAAGTCTCATGGATACTTGGTCCCTTCTTACCTTTTTGTTTTTTTTAACCAGGCTTCTCACTGCATTTCACAGAGGTGCTTATTCACTCACTCTTTCTAGAAAGTTCTACATCCTTGGCTCCCTTAAGATCATGTTTCTTTCCTATTCCTCAGACCATGCCTTTTCATTCATCTTGGTGACTGCTCCTCCTGTGCCTATTCTTCCAATGCAGCATGGAGTATCACGATTTCTGACCATGTCCCAATGCTCCTTCCTCTCACATGCTCTCTCCTTACCCTTTGGAACCTCAGCTACTCTTAATCAACACCTGTACTTTGATCCTTCCCAAATCTTTCCCTCCAAGTTTGACCTTTCTTGTGAGTTTCACACTTGGGTACCTGTATTGGATATCACAAGCATCTCAAACTCAACCTTGTCAAAGGTGAGCTTCCTGACTCTGCACCTCCCTGTCCCCTCCCCCAATTGGTGTCTTTTTCTTTAGTCTTCTTCAAATCCCTCTTCAAATTGCTGCCTGAATGTTCTATCTAAACCACTCACACTAACCCTTTGATTTTTGTTATAAAAGGAGTAAACATAATAATGCATAAGTCATTCTAAATAAAGCAGCCATATTTGCAGCACTTACAGTAGTATATGAAGCCTAACTGGAACTGTGCATTGGGCCACCCTTTCTCTGCAGCTTTCTGAAAGTATTTAAGTGCTTCTGTATAATTCTGCAAGACAATTACACTCTATTACTCAAAGGTGTATGTGTAACTCCATGGTAACAATTGCCTTACATTTTTTTTTTAAGAATATAAACAGTGTCCTATCAGATTTAGGCTAGTTAATATAGTTCAAAAATACTATGTAATTTATTTCATTACTTTATTAGCTTCTTTTAGGAAATAATTATCTCATTTTCACCATAAATTATGTCTTTTTATACACTGATGGTAGATTTTGTTAGATATGGGGAAGGTCACTCAGAGGTTAAACTAAGAAGACAAATTTCTCTATCAATAAAATCCTCAGGGGACAGATGATTTCTAAGGTTACTTTGAATCTATGATCCTGAGATATTATTAGAATTGCTATTCTTGTCACAAGCTTGTTCTTCTGTGTCTTTGGGAAAAATTTCACTGGATTATTTTATTCTCTATTATCTGCTATAATAGTTTGGCAAACCAGGTAATAGAGATTAATTCCTTTAAATCATTGAACGACAGTGAATTTTACCCTATAAATTGCTAGAAATATGTTGAAGAGATAATGAAATTTTTTAACTTACCACAGGAACTCCTTTTCCATAAAAATAAAGAAGACCAAGTCCATGAAGACCAATTGCATTGCCCTAGAAGAGTTTTTAAAATCCAAGTGAAGTCCCAGAAGAATTCATAATAAGGAAAATTACTGCGAAATCATTCAAAATATTTGAAATGTATTCAGTAAGCGATTAATCAAGACAGGTTAACCAGGCAGTTGGCAGGTTATTTCGAACCTCATTAGGATCTTCTTTCAACCTTCATAATCCCCCTGACTAAAAAATGTTTTAAAAGAGGGAAATGAAAGTCAAATCTCTTCTCCATTCTTACATCCAACACTTATCAGTATTTAGTACTTTCTTTGCATGTGATTCCATAATAGGCACCAGGCAGAGTTGGGAGGTAAAAGGTAAAAGATGAATAAATCATGATTCCTTCCTTGGAGAGCTCACAGGTTAATGGGCTCTGAGCAATTTCAAAGGGGTAAGTCAGACCTCTTAAAGTCATGTCAAATGTGGTTAAGTCCTAAAGTGGAAATAGATTGAGAGTATTGTAGGCGCCCAGAACAGGGACACTCAACTGCCTAGTTGAGGCTAGGAACTGAAGGGGATTGAGTTCTCAGGGGTGGTCACATTTAAGCTAGGTCTTAAAGGATGTGTAGTAGTTTTCCAGAAGGGGAAGTCTATCCAGACACTTGTTGCCTAAATTGGTCAAAGGAGATTGACATAAGTGGCCAAATAATATTTTAGAGATTCTCTGTGGATTTCAGTCCAGCCACTACGGATAGTAAAGCGTTGTTGGTGTATGTTTCTTTATTTAAATTTGACTGCTTGTAACATCACCAATGTTTTCTTTTCCACTTGATGCTAAATTAATTACCATTTATTTTTCTGGTTAATATTCTGACTACTCTAAGGAAGGGAGTATTTAGCATATTTAGTATTTACCAAGTGTTTAAATATATTGAGGATGAGCATATCAATCCTGGATAAAGAGTGAACCTTGAAAGTGGCTTCCTCACCTAGAAAACTCACTTTATCTCTGCATCCACCGTCACGCATTTCACCTGCTAGTGACTGAGTAAGGGGCCATGACTGGCCACTTGGCTTTCATTCAGCAGACCTGCAGATTTGTCTTACAGTTTATAGTATTTCCTCAGAAACTCAAGTTCTGACACAAAGCTCTCCAAATTTCTTCTCACCACCTACATTTAGTTATTGTGGATATAGCCACGGTAGCTCTCAGTGACACGGGAATAGCACATAATAGAGAAGGCATATTTCAAAAACTGTTTCAAGACTCCAAATTTTGAGCCTATGCATATCAGAGGACTGTTATTGTAGGAGTTCTTAAGGGCAGTCCATCTGTGTTTAAAACAGTGACATAACTGCTCCTCTGTCCCCCTTCTCTCCTGCCCACAACCACCTGTGATCCTAGGAGTCTTGGGTAACTTTGCTCTGGGAGTAGTAAGGCCCAGCGTGGCGAATGTGGCAGTCTAGTGAGTCTGTTTTCTAATTAGCCTCATTTAGATGTTGAGAAAATGGAAGGGAAAGGAAGAATGGAAATGAGAGGAGGGAAGGCAGAAGGGAGAGAAGGAGAAAGGTTAGAATAGCAGGGACAAATTCCTTTCCTTCTCTAACAGAGTCCTTGGGAAGCCCAGTCTCAGCGGACTACTCATCAACTATTTAAGACCCAGAGCACCTAGTTAGGACTTTCCAGTCAGGAAAGGCCAATTCAGATACCTCCAAGAGCCATGTAAGAAGTACACTGAGCCAGGTGATGGAGAGAGTGGTGGAGACCATAGCAGACCAGAGAGTCCCAGTTCCATCTAAAGGCGGCAGCAGCTCTTCAGCTACTCTATTCCGGCTGGTTGTTGCCACATGGAAAGGCAGCCCTGTGTGGCCAGCTCTTGCCATTTTCCAAGAAAAGCTGGATGTCTAGATAGTTCCATCTAAAGGCGGCAGCAGCTCTTCAGCTACTCTATTCCGGCTGGTTGTTGCCACGTGGAAAGGCAGCCCTGTGTGGCCAGCTCTTGCCATTTTCCAAGAAAAGCTGGATGTCTAGATTTTGATGTGAAGTTTACTGATTTTTAAAACACCTCTGGGGGGGGTGGGCTGGGGTAGGGCCGGCCTGGTGGCGCACTGGATAGTGCGCCGCTTGGGAAGCGCGGCGGCGCTCCCGCCGAGGGTTCGGATCCCACATACAGACCGGTTCCCGCT